TTCTATATCTGGCTGGTGGGAGCACTGAGGCCATGATGTGTTGACTGGCACCACAATACAGTCATAATCTTTCTTTGGTGGGCCTTGTGGCTGCTCACCGAGTCTGTGGGTATGTCCTTTCTACTCCTCTTTAACCCCTTGGAGTCTATTCTAAACCATCTACCTTGTTCTCAATCTCATATCACCTCAAATTGTCATTTTGCCCATTTTTCCCACCTCACTAGTATCAGTGAATGATCCTGCCATCCAAACAGACTAAATAATTGAACACAACCTCAGATAGATCTTCAACAAATCCATCTCCATCAGTCTGTTCATGTAGACATTTACAAAAACTATCCATTTTATATCATGCATATCTCTTTTTTTTTTTTTTGGAGAGATTTTTGCTATAGGGTGCGTGCGCTCACCAGGCAGACAGAGACAGAAAGTGAGAAATCACCCCCCAGGGCGGATGGCCACGCTGCAGTCCCTTCTCCTCCATTCTCCTCTCGGGATCTTGGGCACACACGCACACGTGCCTGGTGTGAATTTTAAGCCACCGGGTCCGGGATATGAACTGTGGTCAACTACATGGGAGTCCAGCAACATAGCCATTATACCAACTACTGGTCCCAATCATGCATATCTCTTGAATCCACCCCCTCCATTGCCTATATCAGGCCTACCCTTTAGTCTAAGTTTGCCTTTTTAAAATTTTCTCATTTGCTATAGGGCACGTGTACTCGCCAGAGAGACAGAGAAAGTGAGAAATTACTCTTCCCAGTAGGGGATGGCTACGCCACAGACACTTCTCCTCTTGGGATTCTGGCTATGCATGCACACACACTCAGTGTGATTTTCAAGTCACCAGGTCCAGGACTTGAACCATGAAATCAGCTGCATCAGCCACCATACCACTGGCTGACTCAAAGTTCACTATTTTTTTTTTTTTAATTGTTAGAGGGTACAGGTGCTCGCTCAAGAGAAAAAGAGTGTGAGAGAGAAACCACCCCCCAGCGGGGCAGTCATGACATAATTCCTTTTCTTCCATATCTCCATCCTGTCAGGATTTGTGGCACACACACTTGTACCTTGTGTGTTTTTCAGGCTCTTGTGGCCAGGACTTGAACTATGATCAGCTGTATGAAATCTGGCTCTCTTAATCAATAGGCCAAGGAGCTGGCCCATAAATTCACATCTTTTGTCTTGATAACATACTCTTAGTTGTTCTCTCAACATCTCTGTGCCTTTTTTTTTTTTTTTTTTGGAGAGATTTTCACTGTAGGGCGCGTGCACTCGCCAGACAGACAGAGAGAGACATAGAGACAGAAAGTGAGAAATCACCCCCCAGGGGGGATGGTCACGCCGCAATCCCTTCTCCTCCATTCTCCTCTCGGGATCCTGGGCACGCACGCACACGCACCCGGCGTGAGTTTTAAGCCACCGGGTCCGGGACACGAACCGTGGTCGACTACGTGGGAGTCCAGCGACATAGCCAGTACGCTAACTGCTGGTTCCCAACATCTCTGTGCTTTTGATCTTCTCTGTCTCCTTCATCAGCTCCCACAGCCACTCAGACCTTGTTTCAAACACTGTCCGCTGATAATGTCAAAAAGAGTCTACATCCTTCTGTTGCTTGATCCTCAGCCCTTATACATTCATCTAAATGTATATATTAGTTTTTCTTCTTACCAGGGCAAGAGATCTTGCCCTGGACCATGGTCAATTCCTGCACCAGAGTCAATAGCATACCTTCATTTCTGCTTTATTCTCTGTAAAAATATGCTCAATTTCCTTGTGCCTGGGTAAAGCAAAACAAATTTTAAAATCCTCTCTAATGGCTTCACAGTTGCATTGACTACTTCCTCTGTATAATCGGTCTTTTTGGAGAAGTTGTCTAATTCTTGTAAGAGATATCTACACCTATATTCCATAGCTTTTATTTACTAGTGTTTTATGGATGGTATATGACTTATATGCTGTGTTGTGCAAAAATCTTAATAAGTCAACTTGATAAATTTTTGTACATATATAAACCCAATTTTGTCTGTATATAAACCTACCACCTACATCAATTCATAGGCTATATCAGCACCTTATCAGGGTCTTATGACCCCGGTAGCCTCCTCTACTAGCCCTTATTTAGACTATCATCATAGATTAGCTTTGACTGGTATTGAATTAAAAAATCGTATCTGACATATCTCTCTTCTTTTGGTCATTGTGTCTATGAGATTCTTTTCATGTGCATATATACAGCTGGTGTTGGTTCATTCTGAATAGCACCTTATTGTATGAAAAACCACCATTTGTTGGGACCAGCAGGTGGCGTAATGGCTACATCACTGGATTCCCACATGGTTGACTGCTGTTTGAGTCCTGGACCCAGAGGCTCGAGACTCCCACTGGGTGCATGTGCATGCATGCCCAGAATCCTGGAGAATGGAGGAGAAGGGATTGTAGTGTGGTCATCCCCCTCTTGTGAGGGCTACGCCCCACCCCGGGGGGATAGGCCTGATGTAGGCACTGGAAGGGGTGGATTCAGAGATTTCTGTCTCTTTGTCTCTCTCCGTCTCTCCAGTGAGCGCATACATCCTATAGCAAAAATCTCTTAAAAAAAGAAAACTAAAAAAAAAAAAAGAAAACTGCCATTTGTTTATCCATTTCTTTCTTGATGAGAAAGAATATTTTTTATAATTATTTTATTTTTTATTTATTCATTCATTTATTTTTTAATTTGACCAGAGAGAGATAGAGGGTGAGAGTGAGAGAGAGAGGAAGTGAGAAAGCAAGCCACCAGATTCAGGTCTTGAACCCTAGTCGGCCATGTGGGAGTGTCCAGCGCCTTAACCACCACGCCATCTGAAAGAATTATCTTTTATTTTAGGATATTATGAAGAGTTCTGTGGAGAATATTGTTCAGGTTTTCTGATGGATATAGCACTGATTTCAGTTAGGAATATACTCTGGTGTGTGTCCAGATCAGGTCGTAGAATAATGTATATTCAGATTTAATGGAAGCTGCTCAGCGTTCTGCAGAGAACTGCACAATTTCATGTTCCCACCATTAACAGATAAAAGCCTCCATTGCTCCACATCCTTTTCAGCACTTGCTTACACCATTCCTTTTAGTCTTTGAGGACCCATGGTGGAAGTCCCTCTCTACCACAACACTGAACTAATTTCTTGTAAGGTCACTGCATTCATCCTAATTTTCAAAGGCAACAGTGTCCATAATATAATCTATAATGGCCCATAGTTGCTGTCATTCATTTGGACTGCATTAGATACCCCTCTTCTTGGCTTCTAGTAGCACTTTCATATGTTCTTGCCTTGAGCAAACTCACCACACCTGTGCCATCAATACTCTGTCCACCGACCCTCAGTCTTAATTCTGAGTAGTGGTCACTATTCCAAAAACTCTGTTCCTTGTACCAACTTCCCCTTCTGGGTTTTTCTTTAAAAGATTCAAGAGAGGCCAGAAGGTGGTAGCATGGTTAAGATGCTGGATTCCCACATGACCAATTACTACTTGAGCCCCAGATACAGTGGCTTTAAAATCATACTGGGCATGATTTGCATGCACGTGTGCCAAAATCTCAAGAGGAGAGGACCAGCAGATGGCGTAATGATTACATTGCTGGACTTCCACATAGTCGTCCCAGACCCGGTGGCTTGAAACTCAGGCTGGGCACATGTGTGTGCATGCCCAAGATCTCGAGAGGAGAAGTGATTGTGGTGTGGCCATCCCCCTAGGGTTGATTTTTCACTTTCTGTCTCTCTAGCGAGCACATGCGGCCTATAGCAAAAGTCTCTCTAAAGAAAAAAAAAAAGAGAGAGAGAGAAATATCCTGAGAGAAGAATGAACGAAAAGGGATTATGATTTGCCATCAGCCCTGGGTAGGGGGTAATGTCTCACTTTCCCTCTCTCTGGTGAGCATATGTACCCTATGATAAAAACATGGGGTGAAAAAAGATTCAGGAGGGGGCCAGCAGGCGGCGTGATGGTTAAGGGCACTAGGTTTCCACATGGCTGACTGTGGTTCGAGGCCTGGACCTAGCGACTTGCTTTCTCTCTCTCTCTCTCTCTCTCACTCTGTCCCTCTCTGGCCAAATTAAAAAAAAAAAAAAAAAAAGGAAGTAAATAAATAAAGTTAAATAAAATAATTTTTAAAAAAAGATTCAGGAGTCTGAGGATCAAAAACAGAAATTTTGTGGGACCAGCAGTTAGTGTAATGGCTATGTTGCTGAACTGCCATGTAGTCAACCTCAGTTCGAGTCCTGGACCTGGTGACTTAAACTCACACCGGGCACATGTGCGTGCATGCCCAAGATCCTGAGAGGAGAATGGAGGAGAAAGGGATTGCAGCATCTCCATTCACTTTCTATCTCTCTGTCTCTCCCTGTCTTTCTGGCAAGCGCACGTGCCCTATAGCAAAAACCTCTCAAAAAAAAATTTTTTTGCAAGCATGAATTTTAGAGATTTTTAGATTATAACAGGTACAGTATTTTTAATTTTCTTTTTCTTACTGATATGATGGTTTTATTTATTCTGTGTTGTCATTACTAATAAGCCATTTGTCATTACTAAGAAGCCATTTTGTGTGTTGTGTTCTTTTCAGGTGACAACACAACACCCCAGAGTGCATTGCCTACTCCTCACCTGGTCTCACCTGAGGAAGTTTCACTCCAGGAACAATTGGCACAGGGAGCCTCAGGGAATGTTCCATTGCTACAAGCGAAGGACCTGGTTAGGCTGTATGAGGGAGAGCCGAGACTAGGGATAGATCACTCAAGGATAAAACTCCTTGGAAAAAAGAGCCTTGAACATGATGAGTTGGGGATGGATGATGGTAAGTATTCAAGGATTGTACACGTGGAAGTTTCCCCAGGAAATGCTTTCTATGAATGTGACTCACATGGAGCAGTTACAGATTCTTTAATTTATGAAGGAAAAAATCTCTATAAATGTGAGGAATGCGGGAAAGTATTCAGTAAGAATCATCTCCTTGCCCAACATGAACAGATTCATACCCAGGCGAAGCCATATGAATGCACAGAGTGTGGGAAAACCTTTAGCAAGAGCACACACCTCCTTCAGCATCACATAATCCACACTGGAGAGAAACCTTATGAGTGCATGGAATGTGGGAAGACCTTCAACCGCAGATCACACCTTACACGACACCAACGGATTCACACTGGAGAGAAACCTTATAAGTGCAGCGAATGTGGAAAGGCCTTCACCCACCGCTCCACTTTTGTGTTGCATAACAGGAGCCACACTGGAGAAAAACCTTTTGTGTGCAAAGAATGTGGCAAAGCTTTCCGTGATAGGCCAGGTTTCATTCGACACTACATTATCCATACTGGAGAGAAGCCCTATGAGTGCATTGAATGTGGGAAAGCCTTCAACCGTAAGTCGTACCTGATATGGCACCAACAGATTCACACTGGAGTAAAACCCTTTGAGTGTAATGAATGTGGGAAAGCCTTTTGTGAGAGTGCAGACCTCATTCAACACTATATTATCCATACTGGGGAGAAGCCCTATAAGTGCATGGAGTGTGGGAAGGCTTTCAACCGCAGATCTCACCTCAAGCAGCACCAGCGAATTCACACCGGGGAGAAACCTTATATGTGTAATGAATGTGGAAAGACCTTCACCCATTACTCCACTTTTGTCTTGCATAAAAGAGCTCACACAGGAGAAAAACCCTATGAATGCAAAGAATGTGGGAAAACCTTTAGTGATAGGGCAGACCTCATTCGACATTATAGCATCCACACTGGAGAGAAACCCTATGAGTGCATGGAGTGTGGAAAGGCCTTCAACCGCAGATCACACCTCACGAGGCATCAGCAGATTCACACTGGAGAGAAACCCTATGAATGCATTGAGTGTGGGAAAACCTTTTGCCGGAGTGCCAACCTCATTCGACACTCCATCATCCACACTGGAGAGAAACCTTTTGAGTGCAGTGTCTGTGGAAAGGCCTTTAATCGCAGCTCATCTCTCAGTCATCATCAAAGGATTCATATTGGAGGAAATTCCATCAGTGGAACAGATGTGGGGACACCTTTTTCAGATGGGCAAATTTCAGTAAACATGCAAGAACTTATATTAGAGAAAGACTTTTTTAATGTGGCCACTAAGAAAAATCTTTGGTCAAAGGACACATTGTAGTCATCATGTGGCCATTCATAGCAAAGAGAAACTCCATAAAATTGTATGTGTATGAGAAAACCTGTTGCCAATCATTTGTCATCTAAAGAATTATGTTAAAAATGGACACAACCTGGGACCAGCAGTTAGCATAATGGCTGTGTCGCTGAACTCCCATGTAGTCAACCACGGTTTGCGTCCCAGACCCGGTGGCTTGTATTTGCGTTGAGTGCGTGTGTGTGCGTGCCCAAGATCCTGAGAGAAGAATGGAGGAGAAGGGATTGTGGCGTGGCCATCCCCCCTAGGAGGTGATTTCTCACTTTTTGTCTCTCTGTCTCTCTCTGGCGAGCACACGCACCCTATACCAAAAACCTCTCAAAAAAAAAAAAATTGACACAACTGAGACTAGCAGTTGGCGTAATGGCTATATCGCTGGGCTTCCATGTAGTAGACCATGGTTTGAGTCCTGGACCCAGTGGCTTAAACTCACACCGGGCACGTGTGCATGATCCCGAGAGGAGAGTGGAGGAGAAGGGATTGTGGCATGGCCATCCCGCCTAGGGGGTGATTTCTCGCTTTCTGTCTCTCTGTCTGTCTCTGTCTTACGAGCACACTTGCCCTATAGCAAAAACCTCTAAAAAAAAGTCATTTAATTTTATTTATTCATTTATTTGTTTTCATTTGACCAGAGAAAGATACACACACAGAGAGAAAGCAAGTTACCAGGTCTGGCACTTGAACTATGGTCAGCCATGTGGGACTGTCCAACCACACGGTCCCTATATTTTGTTTTAAAAAATATTACCAATGACTTGCAAAGAGGGGGTCTTTGATTTATCCTCTTACAACAATACATGTGAGAACCTTGTGGCAACAATGACTAAGAATAATAATAGCTTGTATATTCTTAGCACTATTTACTAGGTTCTGTAGGCTTAGCCATTTTCATATCACTTCACATGAGATAGGTTGTAGTATTTTCTCATTTTACTTACTGGACTTTTCTCTCTTATTTGCTTATGACTTTTTTTTTTTTTTTTTTTTTTGAGATTTTTTCTATAGGGCATGTGCTCAACAGAGAGAGACAGAAAGCAAGAAATAAGCCCCCAGAACAGGACCAGTACTTGGCATAATGGCTATGTCGTTGACCTCCCATGTAGTCGACCACGGTTCGAGTCTCTGACCTGGTGGCTTAAAACTCATACCAGGTGCGTGCACATGCGTGCCCAAGATCCCAAGAGGAGAATGGAGCCGAAGGGATTGCGGCGTGGCCATCCCCCCTGAGGGGGTGATTTCTCGCTTTCTATCTCTCTGTCTCTGGCGAATACACATGCCCTATACCAAAAACCTCTCCCCCCCCAAAAAAATTATTTTGTTTAATTTTATTATTATTATTATTGTTATTATTAGTTTGACCAGAGAGAGAGAGAGAGGCAAAATGAGCAAACAAGCTGCCAGATCCAGGACCCAAACTGCAAGCAGCCATGCAGGAGTCTAGCACCCTTACCCACTGTGCCACTGGCTAGTCACTTGCTTATGATTTTTAAAGAAAGTTCCAGTTCTCAAACTTGAGCTAGGGACCTACCCTTAGGAGTTTTATTTTGTTTGTTAGAGGGTTTGTGCACTCGCAAGAGAGAAACAGATGGAGGAACATCCTACATGGGGAATGGTTACACCACAATCTCTTCTCCATCTATCTGTCCTTTGGGGATTTTGGACATGTGATGCGTACCTGCCTGGCGTGTTTCTCAAGCTGCCAACTCTGGGACTCTTAACCAGGCAGTCAACCAATGTGGGATCCAACTGTCTTTTTTTTTTTTTTAGAGGTTTTTTGCTATAGGGCATGTGCGCTCGCTAGACAGAGAGACAGACAGAGACAAAAAGTGAGAAATCACCCCCCAGGGGGGATGGCCATGCTGCAGTCCCTTCTCCTCCATTCTCCTCGGGATCCT